CTTCTTACCCATGAAAGCTTATGCTCCCCATACTTCTGTTAGTCTTAAAGGTGCCACAGGACCCTCTGTTGCTTTTTACAGATTCAGACTAACACGGCTACCCCCTGATACTTGATAAAAAAGAGTTTGTTACTACTGAATAGCAGAACTGTTGGTTTCCAGTTTAATTTGCAATAATGTAGAGGTGCTTGAGGTAAATAAAACAATTCTCAGGAGCCTGACCACCCATGTGCTTAATGGAGTTCATCTTCTAGTAAGATGGAGCAAAATTTTACATGGTAGCATAACTGGTAGGACTTTGCAGCAATTCACACACAGTTCTTTTCTGAATGAGAAAGAGATCTCATTCTCCCCTGCCTTGCACCTTGTGTAGCAGCCACTTACCCAAACTCAGAACGTCAGTGTAAAATGCTATGAGTGTGCAAGGCATGGAGAATAAGGCCCTGGAAGTTTAAGGACAAGTATCTGCAGCACAGCTGCTAATCCCCCTTGAAAGGATGGGCTCATGTCCAATTACAGTTTTTTCAAGGCAGCTGGGAAAGCCATTATACCAAGGGTAATCAGAATGGTGCAGCAGTGATAATCCTGAAAGCATTTAGGAAATCTTTGATTAAATGATATACTGGGCAAAGAATAAAATTGCTTCTCTATCTGGAGGGCTGCATAGTTGGTTTTTAATTAAAATGAATTAATATGATGTTCTCATTTGTAAAATCAAAATGAAAGGGGAAAAAAATAAAGCAAAGGCATTTAAGTCAGGAAAACACCCATTGATTTTTTTTTCTCTTTTGCCCGATTGTTGCTGCTCTGTTATAAAATTCCTTTGTTTCCTAGTGTAATCAGGTTGATTAAAATCCTGTAAAGAATTAAACAGCTGCACAGACCTCAAAACCTACACTGGAATGTCTCTTTTCCAATGTGTGTGTGCATTGTCTTTTCAACTGCTTTGTTTTAAATTATTCTTTTCCCGTTGTTCCCTCTGGAAGCCTATTACTAGATTTATTAAACCAAAGCCGAATAAGTGCATGGATAAAGACACACTGATTGCCTCAACACATGTTGTTCTTGCAAAGATGATTGTGCTTGCATTTCTAAACTGCTGGCTGCTGCTGAACTGAAAACAAAACCAGTAAGAAAATAAAGCCTTGCTGAACTAAAAGAAAATGCCATATTTTCCCTCTATTAAATGTTGAATAGTTAAAATAGTTATTAAGGCCCAGACCAGCTAGTCCAGACTAAGGGACAAAGTGGTGCAGCATGACTCTAGAGCTACCCAGAAGTCTTCCCCATGCTTCAGGGAGGGACCGGAACCATGCTGGGTCTATACCTGTTGCCTTGTATATGCTGCAATGCACTGGAGGTAATATATTTTATTGCCCCAACTTCTGTTGGTGAGAGAGACAAGCCACACAGCACTCAGTAGCTGCTCTCGTGCCAACAGAAGTTGGTCCAATAAAAGATATTACCTCACTCAGCTTGTCTGTCTAATATCCTGGGACCAACATGGCTACAGCAATGCACTAGCACAGCTGAACCACTGCATGAGTTGCGGGGAGTGGAGTCAAGTCCACTTCCCCATCATTCTCTACTGCCCCTTGTCATCATCTGTGTGGGGGAGGAGGTGGAGAGAACATAGCAGTTCTATGGATCCTGCTGCACCTTGCCTGCTGGAAGTTATTGTACGGAGCACCTAACTCCCTTGCCAACGTACAGGAGAGGCTATAAATTAGGCTCTAAAATAGCATTAAAGGTATGAAATCAACAATTGTAAGTGTCTCCATTTTGACCATTTTCTTTATCCCAGAGCTTTAGGCAATCTTTCAACTATGCTGGGCCCAGGCCATTGAGTGTCTCGAAGATGAAGACCTTTAACTTGACTCAGTATTTTATGGGAAGCCTGTGCAGAGAGGGGAGGATGGGATGATGTTCTTGCAGTAGCCAGTGTTGCTGAGGAGACTTTTTGCATC